ACTAGACAATGTCTGACTTAAAACAGGCCTTCTAATTTAGACAAGAGAGTACTACAGAGCTCTCAGTATCACCAGCAGGCTCCTCTTTGCCAACTAAGCCACTTAAAAAATGAAAGGAAATGTGATATCAAGATGTGTTTAACACCCTGTGCCTACCTTTAAATGGCTTACCCGGTACAAGTCATAGAGAGTGGGGTTAACTACACACCCAACACTACAGCTAGACAGCAGTAACTACACAGAAAGGCTGAGGGCAAGTAAGAAATATGTCTCAGACCTCAAAAACCCAGTCATAAACATCATCTGCAGGCCCCTGTGACGTTGGCCCTAGAGGAACACTACCAGATGTCCAAAGGAGAAGACAGGGGTTGACACCAAAAAGGCAATAAATGAGACTGAGTTTCTTTTGAGAAGGTAAATCCTGTGGACTTCACCCACAGCCATCATGATCTAGGCTCACGTACTACACTAAACAAGGTGAATCAGTATTGTAACGGGGAGCTGACAACTACACTGAGAATCCCTGGGGCAGGGATATGGATGGCAAGGTTTTTCAACATCAATACCTCTGCCAGGACCCCCACCCTGGAGGAACCTACTCCATGAAGCTGCCCCAGTGCCAGTGCTGAGGGCTGGTCCCTGGCCAGGGGCAGCCAGCTGCAGAGGGCGGAGCTCTATTTTGAGCCTGGCCACGTCTGGTTTGAGCAGCATGCGGCCCTAGTGACTCACACACCCATGCAAACCGCCTGTGGCTCTGTGGCACAGCCCCGGAATGCCAACCCTGGGCCAGCTCCCTCCTCACCCCATTATGCTGGGATAAATAAATAAAGAGCACGCCAGCAGCCACACGGCCTGATGGCAACCAGATGGGAAGGAGATGCGTAGAGACGGCCAAGGGGCGGGAACTGCCGTGAGGGACTGGCTGAGAGGGGGAGTTATGTAGGCCTAGTCATCCTTCTAGCCCAACTCCCTCAGGCAATAGCTTCAGTCCAGCTATGTTCTTTCTTAGACACTAACCATCCCTAACTTTTAACCCTTTTCACAACCCTGAAGCTTCCTCTTAGCTCCTGGTCCTGGGAAATGTCCCATATAGGATGTTGCCAGCTGCCATTCTATCCAACCCCCATGTCTTTTGTTTTCCTCTTGAATCTAGGCTGCCAGGCTCCCTCTCATCAGGCCCCTGACCAAGGGAACAAGAATGAGAATGAGAAATGAAGAATCCCAGGGAAGAGAGGAAAAGGCCATCAGAAAGAGAAACCCAAGCAAAGAAAGACAAAAGATTTGTCATTAGTAAAGTGGGTTTCAAACTGAAGATTTGTTATCACTCCCAACTTTGCCCTATTCAACCTTCAAGTTCTTTTCCCTGTTTTGCCACCTCCCCCCCCCAAAGTGACTTCCACAGAAGCCTACCTACCCTATTACCCCTAGAACATCATCTCTGGCCCCCTGCCCAACTCAATTCCCTTCAGGAAACACAGACCCCAGCTACTGACCCCCTGGCCCTCTGACGTCAGCCCTGGCCCCCCATCCTTCATTTAGAGCTCTCTGTCCACAGTTTGTTTATCTTCCTATTCAATGTTGCTTATTTTAATGGTACATCCTCCCAGCTCAGCCCTGGGTGACCCCCTGACCTCATGTGTCCTGTTTGCAGGAGCTGCAAGAAGAGTATTTGTTGGTCATGATAAGACCACCGAATAGTGTTCAGAGAAACCTTCCAGTTCAAGCAGCTATATATGCCACACTAGATACATAGCAGGGTACTCTAAGAAGCCGTGGGGGCTCTTCATTGGCCCTGATACTCTCCTTCCCGCAGAGCCTTCAAAAATATTCATGACTCAGATAAAGCAATGGGACGGGATACAGTGCATAGAGCACTAGGTTAGGAGTTAGGAGCCTGAGATTTTAAGTCTAAACTTGACACTAGGGAACTGTGGGACATTGTCACATAATCAATTAATCTCTCTGGGCCTCAGTTTCTCACTTATTAAATGAGGAGAGGCTAGACTAAATGATATACAGCCCCTCTGAACTCTTAAGATTCTATGAATTTGAAATATCAGTGTTGCATAAAGAACCTAGAAGGGCAATATCCCCTTCTCCAAGCAGGTCCATGGATTCCACAGGCCTTTTCTCTCCACTCCTACAAGCCCTTTACCCAACAGGGGGACAGAGAGAAGCATCATGCTTCAAATGTCATTGGTGGGAAAACCAAGGTTCTGAGAGAAGTGACTTAAGAAAAGTTTCAGACACAGTTCTAACTCTCAGTCTCACACTGCCCACAGGTCATGAGGCCACACATTTCACTCAAGACTCCATGCCCCAAGTTCTAATTTAGCCACCAGAATACTGCCTGCATCATTCTACTAAGAGACTGAGATGGGAAGGTAGCTCAGATGACAAGTCTTACCACGGCAGAAAAACACAGTGGATGGATGCACCGGCTGCCAGGCAAGACACTAAGTTGGCTTGCACCACCACTGTCACTGTATCCTCCCTTCACATCAGAAAGGCTTAACTAAAACTTGTGGCTAAAGGAATAGGAAGGTACTTGGCACAGGGGGCCAAAGCAGGCCAAGTTTGACTTTAACAGTCTCAGTGACATTTATACAATGACTTTAAGCTTACAAAACATTCTCCTCACAAGAACCATTGCCTGTAAGAGGGCTTATCAATGCTGGACCCATGATTCAAACCCAAGTCTCCTGATTTCAGGTCCAGCATTATTCCCATTACAGTGTGCTGTCTTCCAATGAAGACTGAGCCATCTATGTTTCTAGAGAGCAGGGGAAGGAAACCTCTGGTCACCACTTAACCAATTGATAACAGCCCCAAGGAAGAAAGTGAAATGGGCTGGGGGGAGGGGGGTAGATCGGGGGAAGGTGGCTCAGATATTACAGCAGAACAGAGGGTTCCAAGCCATGTTCCTTGTGCCATGCTAGGCATTATGTGATACAGAGTATAAACACAGAGCATGTAGATAAGAAGTTTATCATTGAGTTAGGGTGATAAGAAATACATACATGTGACAGAGAATAAGACAATATTTTATATACATATATGTATACATACACACATATGAAACAGTGGTGTGTGCATATATATTTACATATACACACACACATACACACAAACATATCTTAGCGGGACATAGTGTTAAACTGTGTAGTCTATTCAGACAATATAAGTTAGAAAAATAAAAAAACTATTTGTTATAAGTACTTACTGTACAATACCTTCAAAAGCTAGAAAAGAAGGAGTTCAATATGTACTGAAAACAGCAGGAAAGATTTTTTAAAACTTTTTTTTATAAAGTGTAGATCTATTAATGGAGACCTAGGCAGGAGTCCCTGACAGGCCCCTATTATCTGTTTTGCCCTCCTACTTAAGCTCTCTTGTACACAGCATTTAGCCAGTCTGCTGACTAAAACAAGGTGGTTATTGAATGGAAATAAAGGCTTCCTCCACCACCACCTCTTGCATTAATAGGGGCTGAAGGCACGTGGACAACTGGTGCTCTACCAAGCTGATTCCTCGAAGTCCCAATCCAGACACTGCCCTCAGGCACAGTATTCACCCCACACCCCACCCTCACAATACCACACAGAATAAACCGAAGATTAGTTAATAAGAAAAGTTAGCTTCCCAAAGGACTAGGAAAAGCCTAAATGCTAGATAAGAAACATTCTGCAAACTTTACATAGCACACTGTCTGAAGCTTATAGGACATCCAGACCCAAGCATACACATCTCCTTGTATACTGGGAAGATTAGCTAAACTGGTCTGTGATACTCAACACTTATGACATACATGATGCTGCTACTCGGCTTGTAACATACGAACATTCAATTTCATCAGTGGGGGGATGCCACCTGGGCATTTTCCCCTTGATTAGCCAAAGTCTAGCCCTGGACCACCATGCTAGTTTAGGTTCTTAATACCTGTTACCCGGACTATTTCAACAGCTCATCATAAGTGTGACCTCCTGTGTGAAGCCTTTTGTGATCTACTTGCTATCTACCACACTTAATTTGTACGGTATTTCAAGGGTAGAGTCTGGGGTAAATACTGTAATAGTTCTTGGCCTCCTCCTCAAATTATCATGTATATACATAGTATATCACCCCCCAGTTCAATGTAAACTCCTTGAGGGTAAGGACTGGTTTTTTTGTCTTTATAGGCCCAGTACCTAGCAGAGTGCCCTGCATAAAGTAAGCACTTAATAAATGCTTCTTGGATGAGAAAAGATTGGAATTCACACAGCTGAATCATTAGGTGACACTGGCACTGGCCTAATAAGGATTTCCCACACGCATGGCATGAACTGTGCAATAAAGGGGTAAAGTACTGAGTTTGAAAGGATCAGATGCCTGTTGCCACAGCCCTTGTGAAGACTGAAAACATTTAGCTCTACCTTGGCCCGGTAAAACCATTCAACAAGAAGTCACTGAAGTTCATCACCTTGCTTTGAACCTGGACTGAGCCAAAGCCAACTGAATCTGCAGAGACGGGCATGCTAAGCACTGCAGCCACTGCCCAAGAATCCCAGCGGAGGACACTCCTAGAATCCATCAGCTCAAACACAATAACATCTACCATACACCACCACATAAACAGTATCCTTGTGACAGTGTTAAAGGTAAGGTTTTTTAATCACTGTGTGAGAGATAAATGCTTTTTCAACGCCATGTGGCTGACATCTTTGTTACGGTACTATAATTTTCTGAACCCCGAATAAATGGTTTTGGGGGATTCAAATGTTAGTTTACTTGTTACTTCTGATAGTAAAAAACTAAAAAAAACTAAAGACATGGTGTCTCTTACCACCTATACCTGTCAAACTAAACCAGCTTCTTTGTGGGTGACTTTTTCAGAAAAAAAAAAACTCTTTGATTCTTTTAGGCTTAAAAGTATCAGGAAGATCATAGTCCCTAATCAGTGACTGGAAAAGAGATAGGAAAGGGAAGCTATTTGGGGAGGAAGGAAATAGAAGAACTCCTACCTCTGTTACAACTTGCTCCAGGACAGCATTCTCATCAAACAGCTCTGTCTTCAATCGATCTGTAACCAGAAAAGAAAGAAAAAAGAAATGAGCCTAAGGATCCATACCTGTACAGCAAAGAGCAGATCCCGTCCTGTCTAGGATTATGTGTTCATTCATTCAATCAAAAATCTACTAGGAGCTCACTACACAATAGGAACTCAACCTGTTAAAAATGCCTTGTGTATGGCACACAGTAACAGCGATATCATAATGATGATCAACTTATCTACTCTCATCAATACAATGAACCAAGACAATTCTGAAGGACTCATGATCAGAAACGTGCCCACCTCCAGACACTGAACTGAGGAACTCGGAGTGAAAATTAAGGTACAACTTTTTCACTTTCTTTTTTTTTTTTGCAACATGGAAATATGCTTTGTATGATTTCCCATGTATAATTCACATCATGTTGCCAGGCAGATCACTTAACTTCTTTATGCCTCAATTTCCTTATCTTTAAAATTTGGGTAATAAGGGTGTCTACCTCTCAGGGTTGAGCATAAAATCTGTTTACAAGCACTTTGCAAAGCTTAAGGCATTTATGACCATGCTCTTGGATTCCTTGTCCTATTACACTGCTTTTGACAAGTCCTAGTCATGGAATATTGCCATTATGCAACTCCTCCCCTACCATTCACAAGTTATTAAGTAAAAAAGAAGGCAATCGCACAACCATTCTGACTGGGTACATCACAAATTCATGCGATCAAGCCTCACCTGGGTCCTCACTGCATGCAGCAAGGCAGACCTTTTATTCCTGATTGATTCCCTATCTCATGCCCCACCGATGTTATTCCAAACCTCTTCTTCCCTCCTGAAGTCTACACATCCTTCCCCCTACCCCCACCCTCCTCAGCTGAGAACACCACCTCTTAATTTGCTGAAAACATTAAGGCCATTCATCATGTGTTCTTCTCTCATTCTCTTCATCGCCAAACCACTTGATACCACCTCAAATTCACTCCTTTTCCCCAGTGTCTGACAAAGAGGTGGTTGTGCTCCTTGCCAAGGCCAACCCCTCTCCATGTGCGTTTGATCACATCTCTTCCCATCTTCTCCAATAGACTGCCTCAATCATCCCCTACTCTGGAACCCTCAACTTTTGCCTATCAAGTGGTTCCTTCACTATTGCCTTTAAAAATACCCAAATCTCTTCTGGCTTAAAAAAATCTTCACTAAACCCCACCAGCCCCTCAGGCTAACATCCATGATCTCTTCTCCTTTTCTCAGATAAAATCTTTGAAAAAGTTGTCAACACTTGATACCTTTACTTCCTCAACCCTTTGCAATCTGGATTTTGACCTAATCACTCAATGGATACTGCTCTGTCCAAAGCTGCCAATTATCTCTTAATTGCCAAATGTGATGGTATTTTTCCCATCCTAATTCTTCTTGACCGGTTTGTCTCATTTGACCTTGCTGATCATCCTCTTCTAGATACTCTTTCCTTTCCAGGTTTTCATGCCACTACTCTCTCTTGGTTCTAATCACTCTTCCTCTCCTACAATTCTGATCTTCTCTGTTTTCTCAGTCCCTTTTGCTGGATCATTACCCACATCAAGCCCCTTTGGGGGTATTTCCTGAGGTTCTGTGCTGGGCCTCTTCTTTTCTCCTTCTATACACTCTCTCCCTCTGTGTAACCACATCAGCTCCCATGAGTTTAACTTTCATTTCCATGCAGATGACTCTCCGAACTACAGATCTGGCCCCAGCTGTTCCCTCAAGCTTCAGTCTGTCTATCAGATATGTCACACTGGATGTCCTGGAAATATGTTTAACTCAATATATCTAAAACCGACCTCATTCTCTTTCCCCCAGACTTCCCTATTTGTTTCAGAGGTGACACCGTCCTTCCAACGTCCGCATCCTCCTCCACAGCTCACTCTCTCCACTAACTCCACATATCCAATCAGTTATTGAGTCTCACCATTTCTGCTTTCACAATCCATCACATCCAAACGTGTCTCCACTCACACAGCTACTGCCTTAGCTCAGACTCTCATCACCTCTCACTTAGACTGGGGCAACCTGACTCAAATCTCTGCCATTTTGGGCCATCCTCCACACTGCTGCCACAGTAACTTTCCTTAAGCACACATCACAAGACCTCCCTACTCAACCACCACCACTGAGTTCATCTTGCCTCCAGAATCAAATATAAACTGCTCTGATTGGCATTTAAATCCCTACAAAATATGCCCCAACCTACCTTTCCAGACTTGTAGAACATTGTTCTCTCTCCCACACAATGCCTCCAGCGTTTAGCACAATGTCCAGCATATAGTAAGTGCTTAACAAATGTTTACTGATTGATTGATTCTTTCTCACTCTTGATACTCAATTGCCCACCTCCATGACTTTGTACTTGTCACCTCCCATTCCTGGAATGCATTCTTTCCTTACCTCCAAGACCTAAGAAAGTCCTTCTCTTCCTCAGACACTCTCTTCTGCAGGAATGCCTTTACTGATCCCCCAACTACCTCTCTCAAATTATTTTGTACTTAACTTTTTGTGTATATGTGTGAATATATATATATAATATGTATTAGCTTTATATTTATGCTGTATATATTTTTATATGTACTTGTTGTCTCCCTCATTAGAATGTAAACTCACTGCAAGTAGAGATTATTTCAGCAGTTGTGTTTCTATTTCTCAGATTCTAGCACACAATGCCTGACACATAGTATCACTTAATAAGTATTTGTTGATTAACTGATTTCTGCCCTCATGGAACTTACAGTGTAGATGGTAGAGGAAACACAAACAGATAACATGCACTGTTACATGAGAAATGCATTAGACATGCATTAGAAATGCCTAATGTGGTCTAAGAGAGGATCAGGCTCTATGGAGGAGGAAGCATTTGAATTAGGGTTTAAAGTGTAGGTAGGAACCCAGGTGAAGAAGGTGAAGGAGGAGATTCCAAGCACGAGAAACAGAATGAGCAAAAATATGTGGGGGCAGGCAGACAGGGAACCAAGAGAAGTACAGAATGTATCTGGAGGACAGAGAATAGACTGGTTTGTCAAGAACATAGCGTGCGTGGAGGGGAAGAGTATGAAATACGTCTAGAAAGGTAAGGTGGTAACATTGTGCACTTAATGTCAGACAAAGAAGTTTGGACTTTACTTCCTAGACAATAGGGAATCACTGAAGATTTTTTTTAGCAGAAGAATGAACTAATTATAACAAAAATTACTGTGGCAGCAGTATAAAGGGTGGATTGGCAGGGAGAGAAGTGAAGTAGAAAACACTTTTTAGAAAGCTAGTGCAATAGTCCTGGAAAGTGGTAATGTGGGTCTATATGAATGTGGTGGCAGTAGGAAAAGAGAGGCGAGATGGCTAAGAGATGTCCTGGAAAAAAAAGAAAAGATCGTTCATTTCTCTGAATGATACCTAAGAAACTGTCTGTTGTAGCATCCGTTTCTCTCCTGGGGAAGAGATTTAGAGACTATAGGCTTCCTAACACCCAAATTTTGTGATACCCCAGGCCAGAGTCGCATGACTACTGGCCCTTTTCCAAAGGCTTTTCATGCGACTGCCCAGACATGGCTGGACTCAGCTCTTGCTCCTGCCAGCCACTTGGGCCTCAGCCAAGTACTCAGAGCCAAGAAAAGAACTTTCTGGCCTAGCACCAAACTTCTAATTCCTACTCATCACCCAGTCCCCTTCACTTCCTATGGATGACCTGATGTGGTCAAGCTAGTGCTCCTTCTGAACTTCAAATGGTTCTTCCCCCTTCTTTACTGCAACCCTCACCCTTCTAAAACTACATGTCCACTCCAACTAGTCCCCTCTAACCTCGGCTCAGTACGGCTCCATTCTCTTGGTAGTCTTGGATTTCTGCATCCTTCAGCCGAAGCAAAGAAGTCAGCTCTCTCACCTGGCACTGCAGTACCAGACTCATGCCCATCAGAGGACGTATGAGATGCTGGGAAACCTTTGAAAAAGGAAATGTCTATCATTAAAAACTGTTTATGTAACCCCCTCATGTATTGTAATAAGAACATGAAGAATAGGCTAAAAGAGTAAAAATGTACTCCACTCACTCACTCACTTACTTATGAATTCATTCAGCATTTATTAAGTGCCTGCTCTGTGCCAGGTACCAGGCGAGGTTCCTGACATGTAGAAAGGAAAATGAAATAGTCCCTGCCTTCAAGGAGCTTACATTCCAGGAGAAAATTAAAAAAAAACAAAACAACATATATAAGGTATAGATTTCATTAGTACAGGAAATTCCCAGGAAATGAAATTCTCTCCATCCATGCAGCTTGGCACCACCTCTGCAATTTATAATCTTCAAGAGTTGCCTAGGGCTGAGGAAGTAAGTGACCTACTCAGGATCATGGCCAGTGTGTGTCTGAGGCCAGGAACATACAAGGACACATCTCTGTTAACACAATGCAAGGACAAAGTAATTTCACAGTATAGAATGCTAGCTACCGAGGGGATCATGAAGAGCTTCCAGTAGGAGGTGACACTTGAGCTAAGCTTTTAAGAAAGCAAGAGAGTAAGAGGCCAAAGTGGCCAGGTACATCCCAAGCCTGGGAACAAGTGGGGCAATGATGGAGAGGAGATGAAACACTAGACAAGCAACAGAGATGAGGTCACTGAGAAAGGAACCTAGAGTGCATGAAGGGCAGTACAATGGAATATGCCTAGAAAAGAAGTGTGGAGCTGGACTGTAAAGGATTTTAAATGCTCAAGAGAGAAGTTCGTATTTTATGCTAGAAGTAATAGGAAGCCACAGGGACTTTTTGAGATAGGCAGTGCCATGTTCAGACTCAGATGGTTTAGGAATATACACAGAAGTTTACCATCTCATAGGAGGGACAAAATAGGTAAACATGAAATCAACATAAATAGAATTACAATTATAATTATAAAAGTTATTGGAGTAACCATTGGAATTTTTCTGTTTTGTTAAAGAAGGGGTAGAAACACTAAGGAAAAGTTTTCTAGAACTGATGGCCATAAGTTGTGATTTAAAGAGAAGGATTTTGTATGGTAAAGAGGAGTGGAGAGATTGAATCAAGAATTTGCAACAGCTTAAACAAAGGCTCAGAGGCCAAGAGTGAAAGAACAGGAGTGAGAGGAAGCATGAGAAAGTCACTCAGGCTAAAATGGACAGTGCTAGCTAGGACACAGTATGAAACAAGAAACATAAGAGGAAAATAGGTTGAGAACTTTGAAGGATATATTATATCTAGATACTTATTAGGAACCATTTTAGCTTTGGTAGCAGCTCCAAGGTCCTTTGAGATCAAGGTCAATATCCTAATTTTTTCAATCTGTTCCCATAAAGGCTGCAAAGCCTAAAGGTTGGTGGTCAATAGTTAAATCCAATGCTAAAACCAGCTTGCCATCAAGAGATCAGCAGCCCTTCATAAGGGGGGAAGGAAGATCTCTTAGGCCTAGAAATGTCAAGATATTGCTAGAGTATTTCTCTGATCTTTCGACTTTAACATGAAAATGTCCTACTAGCAAAGTATAATGGTTTCTTTCTCCAGTAGGAATTTCCCATTAGTCAATCAATAGTCTATTATCTTGCTTGGCTCTTCTCCCAGCTACTCCCCTAGAGCGGAGATGGAGAAAATCCAACATGAGAAAAAGAGGGTTTTAGGGGAAAGTTAAGATGAAAGAAGGGAATCTGAGACTGGGATGTCTAAACTGCACTACCCATTCTGTTCGATGGATAAATTTAAATTAGGGTCAAAAACCCACACTCTACAAACCTCAACTATTTCTATCCTTTTTTTGTATCTCTGACAAATTTTCTTTATTTTACTATTAGAAGTTTCTTCTAAAAAACATCAGCCTTATGAGGAATTCATTAAAATTTATAAGAGACAGCTTCTGAGTCACATGAGCAACAAGATAGAAGACTAGCCATTTTCTCTGATCCCCAAGACCTCTTCAACCATTTCAAAACAGAAATTATGCATAAAAGATAAAACAACTTCAGCTGTCTTCATGATCTAGGAAGTTCAGAATCCAAAAGAGGGTTAAAAAAAATTTTAAAAACTTGAACTGACACTCACTGACCCTGAGCTCACTCAGTACCCTTCCCCCATACTACTGGTGGTGAAGCTGCACTAGTAGACCCAAGGACTGGCTTACAACACAAGACAATTCCACACCTCAGCTCCTCTCATTCCCTCATTCCAGTGCCAGGGAACCCCCAGCACCAGGCTGCAGAAGTTTGCTTAGGCCTCTGACAGACAGTCCTGTAACCCTTCAGAGAAAACGCTTGCCTGGGGAGATGGGGATGGGGGCGGTGGGCAAGATGCCAACCCTATAGCACTAGTGACGCAAAGCTCTAAATTGCTAGTAGTGGGCCAGACAACTGAAGAATACAGGGAGAGGGACAAGACACCAGGACAGGACACTGGGAGGGTGTATGTAGGGGGTGGGGGAATGCAGCACTCCATTAAGCCTTAGGCAAAGAGCTCAGCATCCAGTTGGGGCCAGTTCTGTCCCCCAGAAGTCATTTCGGGTAGAGATTTAAGCTAGTGAAGCATGAACTGCCTACTCTGGGAGAATGATGACATGCTTTGAGATCTAGCGCCCAAGGAAACTACCATTAGAGAGAAGAGTTAGAAAGTGAACAATAGGGGAAAATCAAAGGGGGAAAAAAGCCCTGAAATTACCAAAGATCTCAGGAAAAAGAAAACTCAAAGACTTTGAATATAAGCAGATAAATCAACAGGGAAAATACTAACAACAGAATGAAATGTGGCCTCCAGATCTAGCAAACAAGTTTAGCCATCTATGAATAAATACTGTTAAAAAAAAAAAAAGGAAAATGATCCAACATCTGATGATACAAAGGACCTTGTGGTCTATGCAAAGAACATGGAACCACAAAATATTGTTCCTGAGTGGTTCAAAAGAGAAATTAGAATTATGAGAGCAGAATTTATGACCTATACAGCAAAAATAATGTGCAGAATACAAAACTTGGAAATTGTGATGGCAAGTCTCATCAAAGAAACAAAAGAACTATAGATTGGGAATGCAAATACAGAGAAGTAAAGGACAAGTTTAAGGAAGAGAAGCAAAAAACAATAATGTTAAAAGAAAATATGTTCACTATCTAAGCAAAGCATACGATCTCAGAGATAGGATGTGTAGAAACAATATAAGGATTTTGGGTCTCCCAGAACAACATGACAGACAAAAAACCCTTAACATCATAATACAGGAAATAATACAGAACTTCTGAACGTAGAAAATGAAAGAATTCATAGATCACCTCCTACAGGGAAAAAAAAAAACCAAGGCTGCAAACTCCAAGACACATAATGGTTAAATTTAACAATCTGACCGAGAATCAACAACAAGTTCTACAAGCCATCAGGAGGAAGACCTTCGAATACAAAGAAAAGGAAATCTGAAGAAGTCACGACTATGCTGTGCCCACCAAAAATGTACGAGGGAATGGAATAATGTGTTCAGAAAAGCAACGGAGCTAAGGATGCAGCACAGGGTGATTTCCACCTCAAATCTGAATTTAACCATAAATGAAAAAAAAGATAGATGTTCAATAAGACAGGCTTTTGAAACATTTTTAGAAAGAAAACCAGAACTGAAGAGATAATCTGCTTCTCAAATACCCTCAAACAAGAGAAATGCAGGTGGAATGAATAAATACAGCAATAGCAATGGAGTGACAGAAGAGAGAAGAAAAGACTTCTTTCTAAATGTACACAAGGAGACAGGTGTGAAGGCAGAAGACTGCTGGAAGTAACAGGGAAGAGGTGGGACAGGACAGGAGCATTATGGATAGAACCTGGTACCTTGCCTACAATGAATGTTTGGGGGTTTTTTGGTTTTTTTATGGGACTACATTACAACATGAGAGAGTACATGAAAGGGAATACCTCAGGAGAGGAGGAGTAGAACTCCTAGGGGAAACTGGTACCTAGTGGAGTAGGAGAGCGTGATTTCGAGGTAAATGGGGGAAACGGTAACCATGGAGGGCATAGATCAGTTATGGTCTGCATAAACAGGGATGTGGTGAAGGAGGGGCCTTACCATGGGCCAGGGTCCTTTCTAACCCCAGCAATAATTTGCACTGTTTGGGAGTGAGGCACAATGGGAAAGAAGAGGCCATTGTACAAGCTCTACAAGGCACTGGCAGAAAGCACACTGAAGACAGAACCTAAAATGGATACCTTGAAAGTTCCGATTTCATGAGGAATACAGAGAAAAGAAAGAGACCAGATAAATACAGTTGTCATTAGAGAAGAAACTTCACAGAACAAATCCCCTTAATAAAAGAATTTGCTCTGTAAAATCTTGCACTCAGTCAAAAGGCCACACTTGGGGGCTTAGAAGGCCACAGGTTCCCCACCCCTGGTCTAGAGTAAACAGAAAAAGAGGATCAATAATGAAGAGAGGGAAAGAAATCTTTTCTGGAAAGGAGTACAAAAATTTAAAGTTAAAAAACTAATGAACAGGACTAGCTGAAAGGAAGGAGAGGAAGAGGGCATCTACTTGACTGAGAAGAACAAACGGGGAAGGGGGAGAATTATATAACAGGTGAGAAAAAAGAAATAAGCAAAACCCCAAGGTGAAAGGACAGCAAAGGGAAGGAAGGGATCGGGGTGAGGGAAAGAGAGCCAGTGGGAACGTAACTTTTAAAAAGATTAAGGTAAAGTAACTGGGAACTCTGTTTACAGCAGGAGTACTATGTTTGTAACAGAAAAGGGGAGGAAATACTAATTTAGAAAAAAAACCACAATATTAGAGACAAATGGAGGAAAATATAAAACTAACTCATAACTTTAAATGTGAATGAATTAAACAATCTGATAAAAGAACTATGTGACAAATTGGATAAGAAAACAAAATCTTATGATCTGTTGCTTATAAGAAACACATTTAAAAAACAAAGACACATACAAAATAAAACTGAAGGGATAGAAAAATATT